TGTGAAGTGCAGCCTCATTTTCCCGTTATTAGTTCACAGAAGTGAAGTCTGCTGTAGCACATCTGCATCAAGGTTTGATGCAGATCTGCAGAGATTCTCTTCTGCATACCTTGTTGTAATAAGTTGTTACTTGTATTATTGTTATCTCCCTATCAGCTCAGAGCAGTCCCCCATCTCCTCTGACCTCTGGCATCAAAAAGGCACAGAGAAAACTGCCACTGGGTATTTTCTCTTTTTGGGCCATTCTCTGTAAACCCTAAATATGGCTGTGCAGGAAATCCCCAGTAGATCAGCCGTTTCTGAAATACATGACCGTGTTTACTAGCTGGTTAGATATGTGTGTTCACATATCTACACATATACTGTATATTAATAACCTATTTTTGACTTTTATAAAGTCACAGCTACACATATCTACATGTGTGCGTTCACATATGTACATATACGGGTGAAATCTTATTTGCAAACTCTACTTTTTATTGCACCTGTACAGATATCTCAAACTCTAGTTTTATTATATTTATTATTTTTTCTTTATCTTGTGCTATTATGTTGTAGCTTGAATGTATGCACCTCTATTTCTTTTTATTCTACCCGGAGTCTGTTTGTGTTGCGTTTTGCTCTATCCGAACACAGCTTTCCCAGAGATCCTGAAAGCCATTTAAACGCACCTCAAGAGCCGCACTGTTCAAAAGCAAAGCAGCCCTAAATTAAGTCTACTCTAAACAAAAACTCCACTTTTCTACGACGGTTTCCGAGAAGCAGCTCGGCGATTTAACAGTTGAATCACAGGCTAGCTACCCTTTGGGTAACTTGAGTGTTTTGGACTCACCCTCCATCTCAGCCAGCACCTCCAGCTCGTCGGCAAACTGCTCCTCGAAGTCGTCGTGTACCTCGAACAGTTCATCGTATTCGTCCATTTTGTCTGGTCCGATAAAACCCGAGACACGGCGGCTAAATAATCAGGAAAAATATATTTCCCCCGATAACTTCTTTCTCAGCTTCGACAGTAGCTTTGGCACAGTCAAGTTCCCGGCAAATTTTTTGTTGTGAAGTATTACATCCGGGTAACTCCGTTGCCATCACTCCTGATTGGCTATCGCAGTTCTTTCCTATTTCCCGTCATGCACTACTTGGCTAAATGATCTGAATAACTAAAAAAAATGCAGACATTTCCCTGTAACAGTGTGACTAAATGTGTGCCAAGCTGCCTCCCTTAAAGCAGAATCGTTTCAATTTCAAATAGATAAACTTTGTTTCTGCTTGTTTGACCAGAGGGTGGCGCTGTCACTTCTCTTTAGTGACTTTGTGTTCATTTCCTGCCGGATTCAAATCATATTTTTTTTGCGCATATACCTTTGAAGTTGCTTCTTTGACATTTTAATTTGGATTAATTTGGAAAGTTTTCTCTTGAATTAACATCAACTAACTCTGCACATATTTAGTTAAAATGCTGTCAAACTGGCAAGTATTCCAATAAAATGCACTAGTGCTGTCATCAAAGTCTATCTCCCAGCCCTAGAGGAGATTTTCTTTATTCATCACTATATTATTAATGTTGTTGACACAGACCTCTATGCACACCAGTTATTCTTATCGCTTTTACCAATACCACATATGATGTTGCACATGATAATATTGTATATTAATAAGTTATTTTTGATTTTATAAGGTCATACTTCCACTGTAAACAATGCACTGTACTGTTAAAACTCATGAAACACAAGTTATAACATCCACATGTGAATATTACAAATAATAGACCTTCTGATATCTTCTTATATATTTTTTTTCTATGCGTTTTCTCAGTTTGCTGCTTTTTTACCACCAAAAGCTTGATACAAACTGCAAACAAATTTACATCAAGTGGAAACTTAATTAAGTGATATTTTCTTAAAACGTGACTGGTGGGCTTTCTGTTACCTGTTGCTGTGTGTTTTGCGAGTGTGAGAGTGGGGTTTTGTGTGGCTCTGTGTGAGAGAGAGATTAATGATGATGGTGTGCGTGACGTCAGGCCGTCTCCATCATCGCCATCTGCT